GTGTTGGAGTTTTTGCGTCTCGATTTAATTCTTGCACTCATGTTTCATCAAGGGTCGACGTCAGGTCATACCGCCGCCGGATGGCACCTGTTTCAGTCAGGTTACCGCCAGGTTGAAATGCTGCCAGTAAGGATGCAATATGAGGAGCTGGAAAGTCCGTGGATTGGTCAAACAGACCCCGGACTTTCCCCCAGGAGGCTGGTGTTTACCTCTCATATGAATGTAGAACAAAACTATGATGCTTTTTTCTAAACCTAATCATGTGTTTTTGTTGCCTAAACCTAATCATGTCCTTTGGGCCCAGGGCTGTGAGGCTCTGGAACAATCTGCCCAAGAAAATCATGTCGGCCGAGTCAGTAATCTCTTTTAAATCCCTGCTTAAAACATACTTATAGTACTCCAGCCTTTTACCTTTAAGTTTTAAATTAATTTAAACTGTCTTTTGTTTCTTAAGTTTTAACAGTGTTTTTTATCCATTCTTTTAAATGTTGCTGTTTTCATGTCTTGTCTGTTTTAATTATTGACATGTAAAGCACTTTGTAACTCTGTTTTGAAAAGGCCTTTTTTAAATAAAGAATATTATTAGTATAATTCTTAAAGGGGAACTAGTTCCCCTTTAATTTCCTGGCTTTGGTTGTCACTTGCTTTTGTTCTCAACCTAACCTCTGTGCTTTTGTTGAAGCCCTGGTGTTGGTTGCGGCGTCCCAGAGCGTCAACAGCAGGTGCAGGAGGATAACTATGGCTTAATATGTAGATGTGAAAAGCCACAATTTGGGATGAGAACATGTTGGGCATATAAATTATGGATTAGTCAGACTGGCTATGGTGGCTAGGCTAACAATAGCTCAGGCTAGGGCTGCACAATTAATTGAATAGTAAGCACAACCGCAGTTTTGACTTCCACCAATCAAATGAACATGATCCACCTGATAATGACATTTAAAATGTGTGTTCTGCCTCAGCTCACAGAAAAGTCTGCTGCATATCAAATCGAGCACTCCCTAAACTACCAGCCAGCCTCCATGTCTGAGGAGCTGTCATGCTGCTACGCCTGCACCATGAAAAACTGTGAAAAACCTGTGCCTGTGAAAAACCATTAACTTAGCAACCAAGATCATCTGTTGGTTGGAAGTATTTCTGATTTAGGAAAGATCAAATCATCTGCAAGAAACTTGTGTCTGCTCTGCAAAGCAACAAAACTAACTTGTTAAATCACACTTAAATCACATCTTTCACGTCTACATATAAAGCGCTAGGTATCCTCTTGTGTCTGCTATTGATGTTTTGAGAACACAACCAATGCCGGGACATCAACAAAAGCATGTGGTTCGGTTTAGAAATAAAACATAATGGTTTTGGCTCAACATTCATACAGGAAGTGAACACTCAAACTGAACTCAACATCTCAAACTGATGTTGTCCAGCAGTGTATCATACTGCTGCAACAGGTGTCTTCTGGCCACATTACCAATGGAAGCTGCCTGTCCACATTTCATACTGCTGCAACAGGTGCCGTCTGGTCGACCGGCAGCATATCATAACACCACAGTCTTAGAGTTTCACGTAGCCGGGCCTCACTTGTAGTCTCAGGGTCAGTTGAAATGCAAATGGCTGCGCGCTCACATGTTTCAGAACGACATAATAATCCACAACTTCCTCCTTCTCTTCCTAATTATCCATAAAACGAGCCTAATAATGAGCTGTGGGAGTCTGGCTAGCCTCAAACCATCATAAAGTTAGTTTTAGTCGCTCCTCACTGAGTCATCAGCTCTGCAGACTGAGAGACGGATAAAGCGTGGTGCCAGGATCTGGATCCGATGGAAAGAGTTAAAGTTGAAGTTTTATCTTATCTTACTAGCAGCCTGAATGCTCTGTGTTATAGGTTTATTGCACAGAGATGCTCTGACATTATGGACTATGGACTGCACATTATGGACTTTACTGATTGTGTTACTGCAGACAGTGAAGTGATGAACAAGCTCGCAGTAAAAAAGGTAACAAGGAAACAACTGTAGGCTATTTACCTTAAAGCAGACATAGAGCCAAGTCTTTACATCTCTCATGACCGGGCCTGGGTTTTAGTTTCAGCGTCAGGTGTAATTCAAACAGCTGGGTGTTTCAGGACCAGGGCGATCTTGCAGCCACAGAGCTGCAATGTTGTGAAAGGTAAACATGTTGATTCTTTTGATTGATTTGGTTTTTAATGTGTTCTGTAGTGTCAGTTTGCAATTTTCTAATGTAGGTTGAGAGCAGGGAACGTCTGGGTATCATGTACTGATGTTAAATTACAGAACTGTCAATCTCTTCCACAAACTGTCTCGTGATACTCCTTTGTTTTATTAATCCTCGATACATGCATAATATTAGCTAGATACTGGACCCCTAAATGGCACCTATTGAGTTCAGTGGAGATTCTCGTCTGGCGCATATGGCAAAAATTGTCTCTAGCTTTTGGGTTTACTCCTGCGATACACGGCCCACTGAATATGCTACTGGCCTCACCCATGAGTTCCTGCTCAACTCACAGGCTTTATTTTGTGATGACTTCACAGATTTTTAAAATGCTTTTCTACACTTTAGGAAAGTTTTACAAATACTAAACCTCCATCAAAAATTCATAATAGAAAGATTCATAATTGAACTTATTTGCAGTTTGAGGTGTCCTGTCAACACTTTCACAGACATCTCGTTTACAGTGGTGGCCTAGGGGAAAATGCTTGCATAAATGCGTAAATGATTTTATGCTGCAATACCGTTAATGACCACTGGGAAAAATAGATCCCTAATTTTCCTGTTGTCTTTATGATTTTAACGGATGATTTTAAGTACAGAGATTTGCTAACAGAGAGGAAAATATATCATTTTATCATTATTTATTTATTTTTGTCTTCAGATTTGATTGTTTTCTGATAAACTAAAGGATTAAGTGCTTTTTACTGGTTGACAGACTTCCTCTAAACAAAGTTAAATACTTTAAAGTCACAAATCTTTACTGAAGAGATGGCCCAGCCCAGGCTACTACATCTCATTGTTATATCATATACAATTTAACATTTATTATCAGGCACAGTCTGCTTTTTTCCACCATTTTAGTTCATTTGTAATAACTCTTGTTCTGATCTTATTCCTATTGTTACTCTATTACTCACTGGTTTTGTTTTTGCTCTTTGAAAACAAGATAAAACACTTATCTTATATTTGTATATTTTGCCAGGTATTTAAAGGCATGCTAAGCACTGTTGGGCGTCACTTCTGTTTACATTCAACAATGTTATCAAACACAACGGAGCTAGCTCTAAGTTTTAGAGTCCTCACATCACTTGTGGAGATCCAAGGGGAGAGGGGGTAGCAGCACAACTCCACCTAATGCAGGCTGACAGTGCCCCAGATTCAAACGTCCAAAAACAGATAACTGAAACCACAAAATATCTCCATACTGCTCGTCTGTAGTGATCCAAGTGTCCTGAAGCCCCGACATAAAAAGTTGTTTGGAAAAACGTAATTTGAACTCTGTTTTTAGCCTCATTGTAGCCTGTAGCTCTGACTGCCTCTTTGTGCACCACGCTCACGTGTGCGCGCTTGTGTGAGACCGTGAGACATGGGCACCGCGTTCATGTGTGTGTGTGCTTGCTTTCGCTGGTCTTGCGCTGGCCAGTTGGTGCAACCTGGACCTAAATGATTTTGTTGCCATTTGCGGAGCCTGGGCTGCCCACAGAGACCGGACTTTTTCACAGCATATTCAGAGGACATGTAGCTAGCGGATCGTGAGGAGATGTTTGCTGTATTTGACAAAAACTTTTCAAGCTTAGGAAGACTTAGAGAGCCTTTAATACTCTATTGTCTGTAAAGCTGAGCCCAGTGAGTGAGCCTGACCCCGGGAACCCACTGGTTGTTCTGGTTGTGAATGTTTATTTGTTGTTATGTGTGGCGACCCCGTCATGACCCGGCTCGTTGGCCATGACAAAAATGGGAGACACGCACGGTATCAACTGAAAAGTGCACACATTTATTATTGACCAAAGATAATTGGAAACACATAGTTAATTCATGAGGTGTGTAAATCTGGATGAATGGGTGAGTGAGTGATGTGTGCAGGGTGTTGTACGGTGTAGAACACAAACTAAAAACCAGGCCGAAGCCATCTAAAAAAAGCGTGGTGTCGGATGAGGGGACGAGATAAGCTTTACATCATGAAGCACACTGGCCCAAGTGTGGCTCATGAGATAAATGATGGCCTTCTGCCTTGATCTTTAGTGTAACTGTAATTTGAAGCATTCTCTGGCACAATAATTTCCTTCTGGATAAAAAAAAAAAGCTCTGCTGAACTGGTCTTAACACCGGGCCAGGTGCTCCAGGTTCAAAAAGTCAGTTTCGTCAAGGTCTTCGAATCACTCTTAGTCTGGTCCCTCCCTTGGGACCACTTTGTCTTGGGAGAACACAGCTCTCAGGTTCACAGGGACACGCAAACCCCTCCATCACGTTAAGGTGGCGACTCTCGGAGCAGGGTGGCGATTCTCACCTCTCGCTGGGGGTGTTTCGGGCATGTCCCACTGGTAGGAGGCCCCGGGGCAGACCCAGAACACGCTGGAGGGATTATATATGTCATCTGGCCTGGGAACACCTTGGGGTCCCCCAGGAGGAGCTGGAAAGTGTTGCTGGGTAGAGGGACGTCTGGGGTGCTTTGCTCGGCCTGCTGCCCCCATGACCTGGCCTCAGATAAGCGGAGGAGAATGGATAGATGGCAGAAATATGTGCCACAAAAATGTCTACTACACTGAGTTTTGGCCTTTAATATGCTGTAACAGGGGACAGTTCAAGCTCAATCCAGCTCCAATAACCAACGGATATGAAGTAAAATAACTTTTTATTTTGTCTAGAAACATCATAATTTAATTTATATCTTTACAGAAGTGTCCAGAACTCACGTACTGAACATGAGACTGTATTCCTTTGAGAGGTGAATATTGGAGCTGTGCCTCGGCTGCGTCTCATCCAATCAGCTGCATCTGCGTCTGTGCATAAGGGTGCACGTGATGTTGCTTTGAAACCTGACGGTGTTTCCCTCCCATTTTCCTCTGACACACTACTTCACTTTGTTTAATTAATGCCACGTTATTAATGAAAAGCAGCGGGCCACATGATCATCCACGCCTTCCTCCTCCCTGTTCTTGATAATAATTCATAATTCGTGCATAATAATGAGGTGTGGGAGTGGTGTTTTCATGCAGTCTGGCTGCTCATAGCCTCAAAGCAACATTAAGTTAGAGTTAGTCGCTCCTCACCGAGTCATCAGCGCTGCAGGCTGCATGAGAGGCGGATAATGCGCCGTGCCAGGATCTGGATCCGACCGAGTTAACTCAACTACTTATCTTATGGATTAATATTTAACTTACCTTCATATTGTATTTGTAAAGCACACCTGGTGGAGATTTTAATATCTAGATTTTCTTTTTCTTTTTATTGTCTAAGTCAGAGTAGAGCAGCAGGAGAAGAGGAGGACCGGAGCCGCCGCAGGTATTGGATTTTTACTTTGTTCATCTCCTGATGTCTTTTTTGGATTTATTTAGATTTATTTTCTTGATTTTTGTGTCATTTATGGAACAAGAAATCTGATCCAGGCGGGGAATAAATACATTATTTTATTTGTGGTTATTTTCGGACATATTTGAACAGAAATCTAGATTTAAAACTTTAATATTTTTCCCGAATTTTCTTGTTGAAGGCCAAAATACATCTATAAAAGCTGATGACAGAAGAGGGCTGAGAGTCTGAACTTTTGTGAAGAAACTGTTGCTTCCTTATTATTATTGTCTGGATGGATCCTGGACACCTGTGCAGAGACCACACCTCTCTGCACCCGATGAACCAAACAAAGGACTTCATGCTGCACCAATGGGCAATCACCTGGATTACCGTCACTCTCCGGTACCCTTACTGTCTGACGTTATACCTGGAGTAGGAGCGGATTTACCCTCTCAAAAGGTAGGACAACATTCAAAAAACATTTATAAATTTAAAGCATTACTTTATTTTATTTTATTTTATCNGCTGTACTGATTTAACTGAGTTTGGCCAAAACTGATATCAACTTCCTATTTTATTTTATTTTGCTTAATTTAATTTAATTTAATTCCATTTAAATTAATTGTAATTTATTTTATTCTATTTTATTTTATTTTTTTATCTTATCTTATTTTATTCTAATTGTTTTATTTTATCTTATTTTATTAATTTGACTGACAGCATAATCTTCATAGATTTTCGGTGGCTCAAAAATGAACAGTAGCACCACTACAGAAATCAAGTGATAATAATAATAATATGTAGGCTACTCATTATTTTCTTTTAATTTTTATTATTGATGAATAAAATTAAACTTTTGAAAATAATCAAACCTCAACCAGTCATAAGACAAATAATGCACACACTGTGACATTCATGTTGCAGTGACTGGCAGCTGTATTTGTCTGATATAAAGATAACTTTATGTTAATCTAAATGCAGGTGTGAGCGCTCCACTACCAAACTGCCTTATTTGCTTTCCATGGTTACAGCTTTAAACAAACAATATGACAGTATGTTAACGAGAGTTTCCCACATTTATGACTGTGCTCTCTCTTGTTTATTACACCACACACTTTGTCCACAGATTGGAACCTTTTCCCAATCAAAGTGACATCACAGAGATGAATTCAAAAGTGAGGATGCTCATTTTCGTCCTGTGTGTGACTGGTGTCTGTGTGTTCTGGAGGGAATACATGTCACCGTACTCCCTGCCTAAACAAAAACCCTGCGCTTGTGACCAATGCTTATCTGAGGAGGACCCGTGGTTCACACAGCGTTTCGACAAATCTGTTGAACCATTTCTGTCAGCGAACTACAGCGTCTCAGAGGAGGCTTTCAACTGGTGGAAGGTAAACTGTGACAACATTGCAAGAAAACTATGCAAATCAGTGTTGGGAAGTAAAATAATTCTAAATCAACTGTCATCTTCCCTGTGGCGACAACGGCTGTCAATATGTTTATAAAGTTTAGTTGCTAACTGGTCTAACGGCAACTTGTGTTTGATATGCACAACAGCTTTTACAGGCTGAAAGGCGCAACTTCAGTACCTACAGAAAAACAGTCAATGGGCTGTTTCAGATCTTCCCACCTGCTCCAGATGTTGTAAAATCCAAGCCTGACCGCTGCAGGACTTGTGCTGTGGTGGGGAATTCTGGTAATTTAAGGAGATCACATTATGGACTTCTCATAGACTACCACGACATCATCATAAGGTAAATCCTCCAGCTATAGAAAGCTGTTTCAGTGCATCATTGTCTTTGGTCCCTTCTTAAAGGGAAATTTCGGTTTATTTCAACCTGTCTCCTATCGTCCTAAATTTGTTTCAAGTGACTAGTGACATAAAAATAATAGTTAGCATGTTAGCCCTTAGCCTAGATACAGCCGGGGCGCATAGTAGCGTCAGACCTGTTAAAACGTAAGTGAACGGGCAACCTTCAAGCGCAAAGTTAGTCCACTAAACAAGCTTTTTTTCCACAAAGACCGCCTCATATCGTTAGGATAAATGTCAGAGAACATGTAGAAAACAACATGTAAACGTGTTGTCTTACCTTACCGGTGTGCTACCATGTTTGTTTACCATTTAGCTCTGCTTTCCAAAGCGCGAAATATGTCTCGCGAGCTCTAGATAAAGCCCAGCTGGATACTACTCCAGGTGGAGGTGTCTCGTCCTCGGTCACATCCAGACCTTGAAAATAAGGCTGCAACCGGTCCCATTCCTTGCAACAGAGGCATTCCTCTTCTGTGGGCACTGGGGCACAGCATTCACAGGTACTCCACCAATCTCCAGAGCTACGCAGCCTTGCAGCAGCCATTCTAGTCGTCTACCTGTTGCGCCTCTCTCTCTCTCTCTCTCCTCCTCTGTATTTCAGTTTCACAAAGCTCTTCGTCAGTGTATTCTGGCTCAAATAAATAAGGGCGGCCATCAAACTCTGCAAAATCAAATTCCTCCTCCACAAAGTCGAAGTCTGGCAAAAAGTTAGTGGACTAACTTTGCACTTGAAGGTTGCCCGTTCACTTACATTTTAACAGGTCTGACGCTACTATGCGCCCCGGCTGTATCTAGGCTTACGGCTAACATGCTAACTATTATTTTTATGTCAGTAGTCACTTGAAACAAATTTAGGACGATAGGAGACAGGTTGAAATAAACTGAAATTTCCCTTTAAACAATGATTTGAGACAGTTGGACAAACATGAAAGTTTTCCTCAGTGGCAGACACTTTACATCAAAATCCAAACAAACCCCTGATGATATATTTCCTTTTGTACTATATAGAATGAACTCTGCCCATACCAAAGGCTTTGAAGCAGACGTTGGAAGCAGAACAACTCATCGCATCATGTATCCAGAGAGTGCTGTGGATTTAGACAACACCACTCATCTGGTGCTTGTTCCGTTCAAGATACAGGATCTGGAGTGGGCCACGAAGGCCTTAACTACAGGATTTTCTGGACGGTGAGTCATATTTTTATTCTACTTTGCAAATGATCATTTGCCCCCAGTATGTAGACCTTCTGTTCAAGCTAAAATTGTTGGCTTGTACTTTGGCACACTGATGGTTTCAGCTAAATGCTAACACAAGCATGCTATCATGCTTGCAATGGCAATGCTGTTACATTAAGGACATTGTTAGCATGTAGGCTATAATGTAAACCGTATTTATTATTTTATCTCACCATGTTCAACATGCTAACATTTGCTAATTTGCTGACACAGACAGCAGTGCCTTAAAGGTATGGCTCTGATTTTTTTATGTGGCATTATGTGGCGCCTCCAGTTTGGAGAAGCAGCAGGAGTGCCGACTCAGAAGCTAAGCAAAATAAAAATTTATTTTAGACAACTAAAAAGAAAAAAAAATAACAGTTTAAGTGTTTGTTGTATTGTAAATAATTTCACAGCTTTACCTTTCTATCAGATGGCCCTTTCAAGCCCGGTCTCACTCTGAAGTCGTCGAAATCCAGTGCTAGGGCAGTGACTTGTGGCGTCAGAAATCAATGAAAAAGGTGTCCTTAAATGTCGGCATGATACAATGCCGGTTGCCATTGCGTCAGGAGGAAACGCGGAGGGACAAGGACAAAAGTTCAGGCGGGGAAAGTCCTAGTGGGGCAGGCAGGAGGTTGGTGGATGGGTCCAACAAACACCGACCTAACCCATCCATGTGTGTTCGTTGTTGAAGGGAAAAAAAAACATCAAGTCACAGTGTTGTACCAACGTATTTATTTTGAAAGAGACTGTATGTAAATGAAAGAGGATGATCCATGTAACAGGCAGAACTTGACACGGTGTCCCAGAACATCAACAACCAACACACCCAGGGTACCTTGCATGGCGTATGTGAACGTGGAAAGTCCATGACCAAACATCGATATGTGACGAGGGTGGAGTGAGAATGTGTTGTTGCTTTCCTACAGCGAAGCCGTTAACAGCTTCATTTCTCAAACTATGCTCCCATCAGAGCCACCAGACCCCACTGACAAAAGCTGTCATTTTTTCTCTCTGAACACAGAGGTTGCTGGTTCACCGCTGCCTCGACCTGTTAGTCGACACCCCAACCTGCTCCCTTAAAAGAATACTTCCTTTACTCCCCTCAGCGTATTGGTCACATGATTGCAGCTTTACCAAATGCGTGGATTATACATGAAGTTCTGGCTCATGATTTAATAAGATTGAATACAGTTGAGTGCATTGCTTTTCGTATACAAATAGTGCATAAGAACAGCCTGAGTTGTGAGGTTGCTAAACAGGACTTTGAAAGCAAAGGTATTATATTGTGCTTAAGTAAAGAATGCTCAGTCTGATCCAAGGCCGACTGAGTAACATCAGACTGACAGAGTTTGTACAGGATTTACCACACTGTAGGAGCTCAACATGTCCAAACATGGCAGACAAAGCATTTCAATGAATGCTATTTATTTTCCTAAGCTTTTGAAGTGTCCTCTGAGATAATGCGCACTACGTTAGTGCAGCAGAGTATTCCCACTGAAAGACTCTGTATGCCTATAGAGCATAGGCAACAAAGACCACCTTCCTCTGTCACAACTGACTGCTAATTGCTCAGACAACCTGTGCCTGCAGCACACAGTTTTCATACGATGCAAACACTGAGTGCCAGTGCAAGAAATCGTTTCCTTCTATGCAAAGCATTTGTCTTTCTGTCACGCAAGAGACCGGAGCTCATGTTCTGTGGGACACAAACAATAAACGCTGTGGACTTAACTAAACCATGAACATTCCCCATGCTCAGGGTAAGTCCAGCTAAAGAGAGGAAACACACCCCAGCACCACTAAGCTGAGTACCTTGACTTGGACATGTATCAGACTTGAGTCATAATTTTGATTACTTTAGTCTCAACTTGACAAAAGTTTCACCCAAGCCCAAATATTAAAAAGTATTTTCTTTATAAAGTGTGTCACAAATCCATTTATTCCTCTTAATTTCTGGAATCAGCTACAATTAATGTTATTAATGTTATGTTTCTGAGCACCAGTTGGAAAAAAGATACCAAAGATAATTTTGTTCTCGTACAAACGCTACATGGTGGTCAACAAAAATCAACTCAACTCAACTCAGCTCAACTCAACTTTATGTATATAGCCCTTTAAAACAGCCACAGCTGAAACAAAGTGCTGTACATAAATAGATAAAGCAACACAGGGACATGAATCAATTAACAGGAAATTAATACTTAAATAATTGTTTATTGTTTTTAAAACAATTTAAAAACAATAAAACAATAAATAAAACAAACCGTAAAACACTAAAACAGAAGCAGAGTCTCATGCGGAGTTGAAAGCCAAGGAATAAAAATGGGTTTTTAGACGAGTTTTAAAAATGGACAGTGAGGAGGCTTGTCTAATGTGGAGGGGTAGCTCGTTCCACAATTTAGGAGTGGCAACGGAAAAAGCTCTGTCCCCTCTGAGCTTCCGTTTGGACCTCTGCACCTCCAGGAGCAGCAGATCGGCTGACCTGAGGCACCAAGCAGGAGCGTAGGGGTGAAGAAGCTCAGAGAGGTAAGGTGGGGCCAGACCATTTAAAGATTTAAAAACTAATAAAAGAATCTTAAAATGGACTCTAAAGTGCACAGGCAGCCAGTGGAGGGAGGCCAGGATGGGAGTTATTTGCTCCCTCTTACGTACTCCAGTTAACAGGCACGCATCTGTGTTTTGCACCAACTGGAGATGTGCAAGGGAGGACTGGCTGACTCCAAAATAAAGTGCATTACAGTAATCCAGCGGAGATGTTATAAAGGCATGGATTACTGTTTCAAAGTGCTGTTGTGCAAGGAAAGGTTTCACCTTAGCCAGCTGTCTAAATTGAAAAAAGTTGGACTTCACTACAGAGCTAATTAGCTGATCCAACTTAAAATCACTGTCCATCTTAAAACCCAAGTTTGAGACTGTCAACAGGGGGGGTTCACAAAGGCCACTGGGACCAAACACCATCACTTCTGTTTTTTTCTCATTAAAATTTAAAAAGTTCAAGGCCATCCATTCTTTGATGTCTTCAATACATGCCAGAAGTGGTTTGAGTGAGAAGGCATTTTTCTTTTTTAGCGGCACATATATCTGACTATCGTCAGCATATAAGTGGAAAGAGATGCCATGCTTTCTCAGGATGGATCCCAGGGGCAGTAAATACAAAGAAAAAAGCAGTGGTCCTAAAATTGACCCCTGTGGAACCCCATACGGCAGTGGATCAGAGCTGGATTCTGAGTTTCCAAGGCTTACACTCATGCTTCTGTCAGCCAGATAAGATATGAACCACTCCAGCGCAGTTCCACAGATGCCCGTTAAATGGAGTAACCGAGCCACTAGGGTATTGTGGTCCACGGTGTCAAAAGCTGCTGTTAGGTCAAATAAAACAAGAATTACATGGTCACCAGAGTCATTTGCCAGGAGGATGTCATTAAAAGCTCTTAGTAAAGCTGACTCGGTGCTATGCAGAGTTTTAAAGCCTGATTGAGAGATCTCCAGGACATTATGCTCATCTCAAAACCATTTTAGCTGAGCATGAACAACTTTTTCTAAGATTTTGGAGATAAAAGGCAGCTTAGAGATGGGCCTAAAATTGGCCAGCACGCTGCCATCAAGGCCAGGTTTCTTAAGTAGGGGCTGGACCACTGCATGTTTCAAACTTGGGGGAACAACACCAGAGGACAGACTGCTGTTAATGATGGCCAGAACCGACTGCCCTATACTAGGGGAAAACTACTTTAAAGAAACCAGGAGGGACAAAATCAATTAACGTGGGGGTCAAACATTAAAAACTCGAAACTCTAAGTTACGAAGTAAGACTTGAGTGCAAAGACTTGAGACTTGATTATGACTTGCAAAACAATGACATGGTCTCATCTCTGCAACATACAACACACTATACAGCTCTAGTCGAATTGAGAATGTGTTGGTAAAACAACTAAAGCCCTTTTCAATCAGGGATCGCGCCATTGGGCCGCTACGTAGCCCCTTCTTTATGCCACCTGCGTATTTCTACACGGAGCAAAACATCTTTGTGCTGCTCCAGTGTGTGACTTTATAAAGCATGCCGGCATCACGGAAACAAAAGAGGCGTGACGGGCATGACATGTAACACAGTGTCAGTCTCTAGTGCGACATATACCGTATGCATTGACAAGCATAAAATATCGCATAACATGACAATAACAATCCTTCACCATCTTTGTTACATGGCAGCTGATCTTGTCCTCTGCTTAGAGGGTAACGAGCTCCTGGACTTCATTGTTGTCCCAGTTTGCGCACAGTTTTGGCCACTGTTCTTCTTCCTTGTGTTAGCTGCTAACTGCTAGCAGCTACTTTTTAGATCTCTGTGGTGGGTTACATGCAGCACATGTCGTCAAAGCGTCACACCTGTGCTGCCCATGGTCCCATCCTGCCAGCTGTTATGTTTATAGAGACGTCATTTCAGCGTGACTACCTATGAAAAAGGGGCTTAAGATATGACTAACAGCTTTTAGATGGGTGTGTTGAGGATAGTCTGCCCTGCCGGTTTGAGCAGTGGAGGGGGCTCATCCACTCATTCACTCACTATAGAATAGGGCTGCTAGTCCTGTGTATTACAACTGGCCATTACTGGCTACTGGACGGGGTGGTGGAGTTGAATTGTTCGTCCTCTCCCTTACACCTATTGTCCTTCAGGTGTCAGATTACAGACTCTTGCCACATGAGACAAGACAGGTTTACAGTAGTGTACAAGCTATCCCGGCACGTGAGACCCAATCATCTTCTGTTACCATGTAGGTGGCATTTGCCTTGCAAGTTACCACTACTGGCAACAGGAGACAGCATAACAGGGCAACATGAGTCTCATCCACATGCTTGCAGAGTTTTGCATTTGTGAAATAGAACTTCCTCCTGAGGTAGGCGTTCATATTGGGAATCATCTTGGTTTTACTTATTTCTATACTATTTTATTGACACAACCATGCAGTCATTCCATGTTTGACATTTCATGGTGTTTTTAACAGATCATATGCACCAGTGAAATCCAAAATCAAGGCTAACAAGGATTTGGTGAGTGTATTTTTTCATTCAGCAATAAACTTTATTGGCTGCAAAGTTAATGGCTCATAAAAATGATAATTTGATTAATAACAGGTGATGGTGGTCAATCCAGCTTTTATGAGGTATGTTCATGACATGTGGCTGGCAAAGAAGGGCAGGTATCCATCCACTGGCTTTATGGCTGTGGTTCTTGCTCTGCATATTTGTGACGAGGTAAGTTCATTTTTAAATTGGAGTTTTCCTTGATTTTAAAGCTTTGGCTACGTTACCAGTTCCTAAAATGTTAACTTCTGTTTTCCTAGGTCAGTGTGTTTGGTTATGGAGCAGACAGTGATGGAAACTGGAGCCATTACTGGGAAAAACTCAAATACAAAAATTTAAAAACTGGCATTCATCCCGGAAGTCACGAGTATGGAATTATCGAGGAGCTAGCTAAGCAAGGAAAAGTCAGATTTTATAAAGGGTGGTGATCTTCCTTGCAGCGTTTAAGGCATCAAAGCCTTGACAGTGAATCATTTACAAAGCAAAACAAGATTAAGAAGGATAGGCCTTAAAACTCAGGAGACATCTCTTCTCTGGCTGCACACAAGAACCCTTCATAGACTACATGTGTGATGAATGTGACTGATCCTGTCGACAGTGTTTTGTGCTGAGATGTTTTCACTGTTTATTTATTCTCACTTTGTGATGCTGGACACTGAAATGCACAACATAAATCAACAGGTTCTTCAGGCCAAAAAATGCTTGAATTGAAATTTAAACATGGTAGCATGTTTCAGTGCATGGAGCATTGTGTTTTTTTCTTGCAATGGCAGCTCCAACAGGGGAGTGTATCAGGGGGCATGAACCCCCTGATGCAGTTGCTTGCTACCTCACTGGCATCCCCCTGGCAATAATGATTGGAGGCCACCATTAGTGTCTTCAAGAGCCTGTTGCGCACTTAAGCTAGCATTAAGGTGGTGGGACAGCCTGAGGCGTTTGTTGGCACCAAGCATGTCATGCTAGCTTGTCAGGAAGGGGGCTAAATAATGCTCCAAAGTTTGGCTAAATTTTGGGAATGACTTGCACGTCCATTTTCAAAGGGATCCCCTTAGCTCTCATCTCAAGATCTCTCAACCTGCTCTCATCCCAACTCATCAAATGTCGTAACTTAGTCAGTGGACTTTCATGTTTACATATGATGCACTAGGTATCCTCCTACATGTGTTTTTTCAAAATATACTTTTGTTTTCACAGGAAATGTAGAATATTTGCTTGTTAGCTACCTACAGTCTTTTTCAAAATAAACTTACAGCGTCGGTTAAAGGGATAGTGCACCCAAAAATGAAAATTCAGCCATTATCTACTCACCCATATGCCGAGGGAGGCTCAGGTGAAGTTTTAGAGTCCTCACAACACTTGTGGAGATCCGAATTGAGAGGAGGTAGCAATGCAACTCCGTACTGCTCGTCCGTAGTGATCCAAGTGTCCTGAAGCCCCGTCATAAAAAGTTGTTTGGAAAAACGTCATTTGAACTCTGTTTTTAGCCTCATTGTAGCCTCATATGACGTTTTTCCAAACAACTTTTTATGTGGGGCTTCAGGACACTTGGATCACTACGGACGAGCAGTATGGAGATATTTTGTGGTTTCAATTATGTGTTTTTGGATGTTTGAATCTGGGGCGCCATAAGTGGACTTGTGTTGCTACCCCCTCTCAATTCGGATCTCCACAAGTGTTGTGAGGACTCTAAAACTTCACCTGACCCTCCTTCGGCATATGGGTGAGTAGATAATGGCTGAATTTTCATTTTTGGGTGCACTATCCCTTTAAATAAAGCATATTTAGATTTATTTCCTCGTGCAGCAAAAGCACATGGTTACGCAGCATTTCAAAATGACGCCATCACCCAGCAGCATATCATACAGCCACAGAAGGTGCCTGTTTGTGTTGAAAATCACTGACAATGCGGCGGTATATGACAAATTTGGAATGAGAACAGGCTGCATATCTGAATGGAAACAGGCTCCACGAGTCTCCCCTAAACTTGAGATGGCTTGTTTCCAGTAAATGTTTCATTCCCTTTATAATCCACTCCTTCAAATTAAAGCTGTATATCTGTCTTTTTAGGGAAAATGACAACCAGCTTACTCAAACAATGAGTCGTCTAACATGTATTGATACGTAACACATTACTACAGCACTGTTGTGGACCTTAAAATGTGAACTGTATCGATATTGACGTTGTTTGCACTTCAACAGCATAACTGATTTCTTAAGATTCGGTTTTAAGAGTTTCAGTGGCTCCACCTGGACCACCCCATGAAAAATGTCTGGGACACCACTGTTTTCTTGATGTGATGAAACCTGTTTTGTTTGTTGAAAGGGTGGTCAATAACATTTGTAAATCACACAGTTCCCTTGGAACATCTCTGTGTTGTGACCATGTGAGAATGTCTGAACAAAAGATGACCTGTGTTTTTTTCTCACCTACAGTACAGACACTGATCACTGTGATATGATGTATGTAAATCTCCTGGGCGTACCGGGCAGATGACTCTTTTGTAGGATGGATTATTTGCATGTTTGACTGAAAGGTTAACACGCTGATATAATATGATATCAAAGGATATATATTTATATAAATACCCAACTGTAGAGTGTAGAAATGCCTCTGTGAGTGCTACACAATAATACTCTGTCAACTGAAGTAGACTAAAAGTAGTGCCAACATTTCTGCTTGTTTACATGGAATTAAAAAAAGGTTAGGATAATGGTGAACTATACTGTATTAAATGTATTTAACTAATGTAATAAGTGAAATACAGAATTCTTTTTTTGTTTGTTTTTGCCTGGAAGAAATATTTGTAAGGATTGATACATTCTGTGTTGTCCCTCAGGCTGCACACAGAGAAAAGTGTGATCACACAGCACACAAACTCGGTAAATAAACGATGTGTCCTCAGGTCAGTGGTCGTCTGTGTTCTGTCTTTATAAAAAGCTGAACAGATTTGGTGGACGTCTGCAGTGTTGAGCTCAGTTCCCACACATCCAACATGTCCTTGATCTGGTTTTATGTTCTGAACAACTTTGCGTGAGTGGATGAGCCATTAACCTGCCTGAATAACCAGCCAGTGGAAAGAACAAAGACAGTCATTAAACCAACCCAGCTAAACACACACATAAAATACCTGCCTGTATCTGTTTCCTTAGGCGGACATTAAGTGGGTTTTTATGAGTTAATAAAATTCCAATCACAGTCCCCACCACTTTGACTAATGGATGAGAGTTTAAATTGGGCCTGTCATGCTGTCATTATACATGTTGAAACATAGAGGGTGCTCTTTTACTTCTTTCTGTAATAAGTGGAAGACAAGGCATCAGCACTCCACTGATGGGTGCAGTGAGGTGGGACAAGAGTACACGCCTTCTTCAGCCTCTGGCAGCCTCTTCCCAATGAACTTCTAGGGGGGCTAAGGGGTGAGGGGCATGTAGAGCAAATCCCAGTGTTCTTAACTTATTTAGAGTTCTTCTTTGAACACAGGCCCATATCCAAGGTGGCAATCACTCATAGGGGCCCCTCTCCACCCAGCACACTGTTGGAGGGCCCACTCTCTTTTTCGGTCCCCCTCCCCACCTCATGGGCCCTAGTGCACTGCCCACACTGTCTATATTTACACTCATACCCCTCCAGCATTTGCACTCATACCCCTCCAGCATCAGTTAGAGACCATGTGTCAGCTTATGCTTGATACACACACGAGTCTTTAAGTTAAGTTTTTAAGTTGACTTCCCATTATTTAGGCAACAAGAACAGGTGGATAGTTTTGGAAAAAGACATCATGGTTGGCCCAAAACAAGTATGTTTGTTGCTGACTAAATGTGACACTCAGGGTTTTTTTGTTTTGTTTGGTTTGGTTTGGTTTGGGTTTTTTTTAACTTCAAAATACTTACAAAACAGATGGAAATTTAACAGTAGACATAAGTCAAATGGAACTGTTATGGTCTGCGGTGCCTTCCCCCCTTTTCCCAGTGTTTTCTTATGTTTACCCCTCCCTTGTGTTTCCTACAGTATGTGTGCCTTGTCTGTTCTCTCCCTGTAGCTGTGTTTCCATCCAAAAGTGATTCGAATCATTGGGAAATGCGTATTAAAAGAAATACATATTCTGTGTGTTTCCATTAAATGTACAGACTTTGGTGAAAACTACGAACTCGCGAGTTTTCCACAGAACCAGAAACAAAACAAGTCTGGCATTCTTCTTCTTCTACGTTTTCTGGCGGTTGGCAACCAGCTTGTAAATGCATTACCGCCTTCCCGACCCGGAGTGTGGATATCACCATGGAGAGAGATGCGCTACGTCAGACTTAATTTGAACATAACTGTTTCCATCCCCCGTTTTGCGAATCAACATTTTTTCAAATCAACCAAAACCCGGCTAAAGCGAGCGTATTTTAGTTTGTGTGAATCAGGGGATTTTAATTCCAATTTTGGCGTTTCCATCATAATTTTCCGAAGCGATACTGTGTGCATCTAAACAGGCTGATGGAAACATGGCTTGTGTCTGTCTGGGCGTGGCCATCCTCCTGCTGCTACTCACCTGCTGCCAATCTGACACACCTGCAACCTATCCAGTAATCAACCCAAGCAGTACATAAACCCTGGCTCTTCACTCCAATCTTTGCCAGTTTATTCAGTCACCCAAGTAGTATTTGACGCTACGGCTCTCGTCTTTGTGGTTTGTGATATCTCTGTGTGTTTTTTCCTTGCCTTGTGACCTGACTTGCTCTTTGTCTGTGCCTCAGGATCATTTCCTGTGCTTTCAGGGTATAAACATGGGAGGACTATGACACAGTGGACTCCCGGGATGTGCAAAGGGCCCCAACACTTCTCCTACATTGGATAAAGTTGTGAAGCATCTTTCTGTGGTTTTGTGTTTCTTTGTGGTCATTTTGAGTCTCTTCTTGGTCAGGATGTGTTAATTTGACTTTTGACATTTTGCACGTAGAGGCCAGGGGGTCCCCTGACACTTTGGGCCCTGGGACCTGTGCCCACTAGTCCCATTCAGTAATCCACCCATAGGTATGTCAGTGTTTCTGTATTAATGGAAAGTAAGGGGTTGTCTGAGTCTGTACAGGTCCATGGTTTCCATGGTTTGGGTTCTTTTGGTGCAAGTGGCTCCAGAATTCCTGAAACAATTAAAACTCAGACGGACAATCCACTTTCAATAAATTTAGTTTAAACATGATCTGAGGCTCATAAGTGCTTTGGACTGAGAGGTGGACTGTCATACAAGACACACTTGAAACAGGACAAATTCACACTAAAGACTCTGAACATTAAGATTCTCGTCACTTCTATCTTCCGAACCATCTGCTGAACAGCTTGAGGAAAATGTCACGAGTCTAACAACATTCTGTTTTGTTAGTTGCAAGTAAGGTGATTTTGTAGAAGCACACCAGGACCCAATATAATATTACCAGTGATCAGCGGCTAAAAGATGTTGCAAGAAGTCCTAAGTCATCATTAAGATTAAAATAATAACCACCTGGTAACAGTTTGGGAGTCTGGTTGGCGCTGCTCTTGTAGCGTCCTGAGGCAGATTCATGTTCAAATTCAAATTCATGTTCACCATCACATGTGCAACTACAGTGGAAAGCTGTGCCCTGCCTCTCTCATCCTTAAATAAACAAACACCATCCATACCATAATATTTACAGCCTGCAGCAATAAACACTTACAATGCACATAACTATAAACCCAGAGCACTATCATCTAACACTGCATACACACTATCTACAAAAGGTGATCAGTGCATGTGGGGACATCAGCTATTCAGCCTGTGAAGAGAAAAACAGGTGAGGTGGTTACTGATACCGAAACTTTTGTGGCGCCTCAGGAAGCGTAGCACCTGCTGTGTCCTCTCATTCCCCTGTGAGTGTGTGTGTGATGTGTGTGCCCAGGAATTTAAAACTGCCAGCGATTTCGACAGACGAGCCGCTGATGGGGTGTAATTCCCTCTGGACTTCCTAAAGTCAACAATAATTCCTTTTGTGCGGACTGATACTGGACTCGCTGGTTCATCACCTGGAAAAGAATGTCGTTTATAGACCTGCTGGAAATTCTCAACACATCAGAACAAGGAAGCGACTTGGGGGGGGGGGGTTGGGGGGGGTTCACCTGAGGTCAGGGCGGCGGAAAATCAACCGCCTCCCACTGCCTACTGACTTCCTGGTGATTGTCCAGTTCCTTTGTGATGAAACAGATGAGCTACAGGCCAGTATACCCCATCTACACCTGTACAGCCTGTGT